GTCGGCAAGATACACTTTGCGTTTTCCTTAACCCCGAATTAACGCTTACGGTACGACTACGATCATGCTTTGAATTTGATTAGTGGAAGCTCCCTGCATTATCAACATCAGTATATTGATATGAGAGAGAGAGAGAGAGCGAGAAAAGTGAAGGATAATAAAAATTTTTACACGCACGAGTGAAGTGATAGTTGCCAAGTGGCATGCAGGCAGGCGCATCGGAGAGGCATTGAGAGATAAGCGCACCAGCATTCCCGAAGTGAGAACCTTGGCATATCACTTCCTCAATTGTACAGAGGGCACAGGGCAACGCTGGCATCAAACGTTATAAACTTCAATCCTGATCGCGGAATATCAAAGACAAAGCTTTTTACTGCAATCAGCTCGGCAATTAAGTTGAAAAGCATCGAAAAATTGGCCGCCGTTTAGCACATTCAAAAGTTGGACTTAAAGCGGAATTTTCACAGTGAAAGTTTAAAATGAAAGGTTATGGTGAAATGACCAAAAAATATATTAATACACAAATGACCAAAAAATATATTAATACTTAGGCTACACTGAGTGATTCGGTATAGTCATTCATTTTGCGCACGTCTGACACGGCCGACTGCACAACGAGGACACAAGCAGCAGAATGACGTCATCTTTTTAGATAGAGGCGGTCTTAGAGCAAGATATGAGGTTTAGAAATTACGAAAATAAAGTGAACAATATCAAGATTATGTGACATCGTCCACGATGTTTTTATAATGAATTATCTTCAGAAACAAGGTAATCGAACTACATAATAATAAGGCAGAATAAAAGATTAACGTTAATGTAGCACAATGCAATACAGTGCATACAATGATGAAGTGAAAATAAAGAGAACGAATGCAGTTATACTTCATTAATAGACTGCAAGACGCATCCGGAATGAACGCACAAAACCGGCTCTCCCACATGATTAAGCTGCAACATCTAATTTCCTGGAGATTTTTTCCTCCGCATGACAGATGAAGCGGGCGCATGCAACCCTGAAGTGTCGGATGCGGTGGTGCATATAATGTTCCAAGCCAGCAAAAACCGCACAATTAATGATGTTTTTATCAGAAGCTAATGCATTGATTGTAAGCAGGGAATATTATTTGTTCGAATGAACTTGAACGGAGACCATTTCAAGAGAAATGCGACACACACACGAGTCACAAAGAATTCCCAAGCAAGTTAAATAGCGATATAACACGTTTTCATCGAAGGAGCAACAAGAACTTGATCATGATCAAGAATGTGGATAGTAATAGCTTCGGTATTGTGTTATGGACAATAAATTCACCTGCTATTGTTCCTATACTCATTAAAAACATATAAAACCAAGTGTCTGCGACATGACAGCCACCTGAACCGTTGTGTGTTTATAAGTCGCGAACCTAAAATACTTAGTATTAAACAAGGAGTTTACTAGACATCATCAACAGAGCAATTAATGAACACATGCAAAAAGGGAACAAAAATTCCAAGTGTTCAAAATATAATTGTAAACAATTAATTGCAGCCAACGGGAGAATTTTGGTCAAATTCTTGAGTCGCTATCGGGCATGAAGGCCATGCATGCATGTGTGTGGCAGTGCGCGACGCTCGGCATTCCTTGTCCTCCCGGGCGCTTCCGGCTACAACCTGTTCATATGACGCAATTCGGTGGTGGCAATGACGGTTATTTACCCCACAACAAACACCATAACCAACAAACACACTAACCATAATACTCGCTTAAATAACACACATAGTCATGTATGTTGATGTATGTAAAAGAGAATAAGACTCACTACAACACAAAGACGAAAACAAATTTGTGTCACAACAGGAACAACAGAAACTAACACGTTCATGGTCCTCATCAAGATTGACGCTCCTGAAATAGCAAAAAGATTCTAGGAGCACGAAAACATTGAACACAGCGTGCATTAAATATCGGCAGAAGCACAGGAAATAGGAGGAGCTATTTAATGAAGAGTAATTAGCGGGCCTTGGGCTAATGTACATCTCTGTAGACTGAATCCAGTTCTACTGCAAGATGCACGCACGACGTGACGATAAACCTAGAACACTGGAACGTCGATCTTCAGCTAGACCTTGAAGAAACTAATAGAAACAGTAACCAACGAGGCTGACGACAGATAAAGATTACCGTACATTGTATCATATGAGACCACAACAGAGATCATTTCCTCAGATTCGCTGAAAAAAATTAAGTATGTCCGCTAACAGGACTCGTTTATTACAACAACGAACATTGAAGAAAAGTCGTTCGCGAAATTGTACAGCTAGAGGTTTCCGTTAGTCAACGAGCAACTTTACATGAATAAAATTTCCTTAGCACAGTAATTCAGTAATTTCAAGTTCATGAGAACAATTTGTGATCATATTAATTATTCATAGCAACTCATTGACATGGCTCGTGACAGATTCGCGTGCGACTTTACTCCGAGTTCACACACAAACGAGTCACGGTCGTTCAGTGACAGTGGTAAACCCCCAAGTCAAGCAATTCAGCGAAAGTTAACACGCAGTGACATTTTAAAAGCGCTCAGTTGACCGCCAGTTGAGTTCCCAAACCATGGGAAGGTAGCGGAGTGAAGGCTAATTGTTTTTTTTTAAACTTAGTGAAAAATTTGCTGTGCGAAACGTGGAAATCTCATTCGTTCGACGTGAAAAAAATTGTCAACTAATGAGACACGGTTCTACTAGATACGAAAATACGCGTAATATTATTTAAATGGCCGAATAAAACTGCATTAAGTGTGGATTAAGTACAGTTATGAGAACAAACAAGAGCACTCCTGCCGTCACATGACGCACCTTGACCTTGTCATTTAAGAGTCAAACGTCGGACAGCGTTCGTACAACGCAACACGAACCGCAACACGTTCGTACAACGCAACACGCACCGCAACGCGTTCGTACAACGCAACACGCACTGCAACGCGTTCGTACAACGCAACACGCACCGCAACGCGTTCGTACNTCACAACGCACGTCGGAACGCGTTCGTACAACACAACACACATCGGAATGCGTTCTTACAACACAACACACATCGGAACGCGTTCGTACAACACAACACACCTCGGAACTCGTTCGTACAACACACTAGACTTGGTAAGGTGCATGAACATCACAACACGTTTTGCAGTAACATAACGACCGTTATGATCAAGAAGATAAAAATATGAGAAACAATCTCAGTTTAAAGGAGTGTAGCTTCAGCCCAGAGTGAACGCGAGTAGCGACATCTAAGAAACACAAAAAGCAACATATCGTCAGCAACAATGCCACATCAGCCACAACAATTACTCTGCAGATACACGGGTAAGCCATTGTTAAGGCGTTCGACCACAGTCTTGTTGGTCGATCGCCCGACCCTGACCTTAGTGAGGATAAATTTAGAGCGTTGACCCGACGTGATATATCTTGTAGTTATAACCAACAGGGAAAATCTAACGGGAGTCAAGTCTGGAAACTCAGTTATTCTCCTCTTTGTAGTCAGTATCGCTTTGTATGAGAATCTCAGCAGCGCATTCCTAGCGCATGTTTACGAGCCTTTAATTGAAAAAGCTCCCCGTCTGTGCCTGGCGTTGGATAGACGGTAAACAAACGGGCAGCCTTTGTCAACACAGGTGGAATGCAGGGCCGCAACACCAGACATGAACACCGGTCACCGAGTCGACATTTCTTCAGAGCATTAAGAAGTGTGTTGTCAAGTCAAAATGATAAATAAATTTTTATCGTTGTTTCTCACCGTGAAAATTCAGTTAATCCAATTTAAACTCCTAGGTTTAAATGGGATTAACTGTCCTAGGAGCATGAGGTTAATCCCATCATGCTCCTAGGGCAGGTTGAATGGTCGGCATGGTGCAAATTTACCTCACTATAAGCCAAGACTCCCTATGAACATAGCATTAGAACATTATTTGCGCATGAGCTATCACTAAGCGTTTGTATAAAATATAGAAATAAGTATGTGATGTTGTGCCATATTTTTATCAATTTTATCCTTAGTTTAAACTTAGTATTCATCTACAGTCGTTTCAGAATTTTATTTTTAGTGGAAAATTGTTCATCGAAATCATGCATAATTGCCCATGCTCTTTTCAACTTCTAAAGATCCTCATTTTAGCAAAACTAAAAAATAGAATACATTTATTAACCTAGTGAGATTTAGCATCCGTTTAATGAGCTCAAAAACACTTCTAAGATATCAATGCTAACGAAATCTTATAAAAAAACAAGCGTATTTCTTTGATCCGCGTCGCAAGTAACGGGAATTTTTCCAAATCTGGGTGGTTCCCACACCACATGCAATCATGAAATCATCCACGAGTGCAGTCGAAATTTCAGCCACATGAGAACACAGTGTATGTTGTCACCATTCAAGCTTTGGAAGAAGGAAATCTGTTCCGTCGTCTGAACATGTACAATTGTCGCTTAATTTAGTCATCAAAACAGAGCCTTGCCCTTGCAGAACTCAGCCCTTGCAGAACTCAGCCCTTGCCGCAACAAAGAATAAAATAAAACTATATGAAAGTACAAGGAGTATTATTCATTACATTTTCTGCCTCAAAATTTTCATCAATAATAATATTTTTTGCATAATTCCTCTTGGGATACGAGATGTAGAGACGAATAAATATCATGCATGAAATAAGAAGCAGCAACATCAGAATCATATAAACACACCAGTACATAACATCGATGAAAGGCGTCTCATCCCCACAACCTCATCACGATGTATATTGACCGTCATTACACATCGTCACAACCTTCTCATTCCATACGGAAAACAAGTACCGTACTTGACAAATTTCAAAAGTGAATGCAAATTGTTATAGTGCGAAAAATTGTAATAAATATTATAGCACACTCTGCACGAACAAGCAACATATTCAACGAGTTCTAGCCTCATGTTCGAATCTGTTCTAGCCTCATGTTCAGATTCGTCAGGGTACGTGAAAATTTCTCACCTGTGAGTCCCGAGATATGTTGAAGAACTTGAACGCTCCTTGCATGACCATCGTGGACTCGAGTTCACTTAACTACTATCACGAGTCTCATACACTGGGTCCGTAGGCCAACAAATATTTTTCATATGTACGAGAATAAAATTGAAATTAACGCTACAGTCAACCACACCTTCGAGTATTCCTGAAGTTAATTATATCATGAGTTAATTATAGTGTAAGGAAATTAAAGTGAAAGTAAAATAGATTTACGATGGGTTCTTTACCGAATGTGTTAAACTTCAAAAGAAAACTATAAGGGGAGGCGATTCAAAGTAATTTTCCATCGCAATAGTTCACTTTATACAAGAGATTGCAGTTCAAATGTTTTTTTTTTCGTGATGCTGAATGACTAATAGCGAGAAGTTTCTAGGGAGCAAAATATTAGAGTATTTTTTAATCGGCATGAAATGGATTTTCTTTGAGTCAGAAATGTACACGTTTCTCTAGAGAAAAGTCCAATACACGCTACGATGCGCCGTTAGGAGAGACGAAAGTACAAATTGTTTAGTACTAATAAAGCCCTTCAGGCCAGATTTGGCAGCGTGCAGCAATAACCAATGTTTCATAACCACACTTATTCTTTAATGTACAGAAAACGTAGTAATGAAGTAAAATTTCAGAAGAGTCGGAGCTTATTTAGCGAGAATGTCCACGAGAACTTGGGCACTCGGGCATGTCAGAGAGGAGAGGTCAGGGGAGAGAGAGTGTAGGGTTGCAGCTCCCAACAAAGAACCTTTTCCTGCCGGCCGGCCAAGAGAAAAACAAACCCAGGTACTAAGCCAATCTTCCGCAAGTGGCAACGCGTTCAGTCCCGTTTGGTAAATCCAATTATCCAGAATACTGACCTAATACTGATGTGGTCATCACTGTTTAGTACATGAGCTACGTACCACACTCGGGCGGAACGCAGTCAGTGTCAAGTAAATAAACGTCCCAGTCTCCATGATACTAATGTCTTTAAATGCGACCATAGACGACGGTTAAAATTCCAAGAGCTAATTTTGGGAGACCACAATTAAATGAAATAGCAGCGCGTTCAGTGCTGTCAATCAAATAATTGCTTCAGTATCACTGTTTCAAACGCTGATCATTATGATTTTAGGAAGTGATGTAAACACAAATATTAGAGCGTACCATGCGTACCCATGCTGGCAACTAACTTGACTAAGCAAGCAAAGTTCATTCAAGTTAATTTCTCAGAAAAATAAACAGTTTTTTAATCCTATTGCCAAGTTGGTCATACAATGGGAAGCACTCGCTGCATTATCATTTAATACAAAGTGGACACTCTTGTTGTTAACGAAGCATTCTACCCGAAAATGAGCTCTTTTTTTAGTTGCACATTTTTCAATATATTTGTAGCTAGCTCACATTCGGAAGATATTTTTGTATGCGATAAATTCTGCGAAATTGAAAGGCCACGGTTGACTAGCCGTCTCTTCGAGTTTACAACTAGCGTGAGAGTTCGGAGCAAAATGGGAATAATATGATTGAATTATTGTTTAGAGCTTACACAACGATTGAAAAATAAATCTGAATGACTGCAAAATTGTTCCAAGACGTCCTTTTGCAAGTTGATACATGTTCAAGGTTACGTCAACCTGAACATAATGCCACAATATTTGTCCAACACAATGATCAATGTTTTAAGCACCATAGCCATAGCAGTTCCGGAATAAGAACCGCAGGAACGACAAGAACTTCCTAGAACCAAGCGTTGTCCAGAGAGGAACTGCATAAACTAGTACACTTTCATCAAAAACCATTAAAACGTAAACATTATCGTATAATGATCGTGACTATGGTCGTTCTATACGAATGGTCTTCTTTTGCGATTCGTTCCATTGTACGGATTGACACGAGCACAACCTTGCATGACAAGTTCCATTTCGCAACGACGCGGTCAGAGTGACACGGAGGAGCAACTCGTCCGACAACCACACCCTAGCACGACGCGCACTGTACTGACGGAGGGTGACGTCATGCACCCACAAGTGGCGGATCAGCTGACCACGGCGTCCGCGCACCCAGATTCCTTTCAGGATCGCCAACGACCCTAAAATAGATCAATGGCTGCAAGAAATAAAAATAATGAAAATAATTCTATGTATCTTTCAACACGTCGAAGTTTTTCAAAATGTTTCAAATATCTGACTTCCAGCCAACGATTAAGTAACCTTCATTCGAATTTCGATTTAATTACATACGCACTATTAAAGATCTGCATCGCACTTACTCTTCTTGTTTAGCAGTCATTTGATAGATATCCGCCCTAGCACCAGTCGCCCGGCGATGTCACTTAAGAATTAATGATACATAATAAATCGTAAGAATTAGAGGTTGGGTAAAAACTCACAAATTTAATATGTCAACAAATTCGTATCACTTATTGTTGCCCAAGAATGTGTCACTCTAAAGCATGACGTGAGCTGCATTCGGAACAGGATTGAAAGCACAGTGGTCGAATAGTGAAGCAAGTCAAAATAGTGAAGCTTCGATAACATAACGAAACAAGTCAATTCAACAGTCCGAAAAAAAGCTCCAGGCAAGATAATGTGTACCTTTTCTCTTGCATGCAGATAAAATTAAGCCTTAATACATAAAAAATCGAGTCAAAGATGTGTAAAAATTGTCCANTTGCATGAGGCATGGCCCCTGTCAATCGCTAGCTCGTCAATCGGTCAAGAAGCGCATGCAGAGGCTGCAAAGCGCCTCTGCATGCGCTTTGAGGCACTTGACTCTCGTGTTTTGCCCCTAGTGTGAACGGGCCTTTATAACTATTGCATCCACAGCTCCTTCATGTACCTTGGTCGGTGGATAAAAATTACATGAAAACCGTTTTTATACATCATATCCGAATGCGGACTTATTTTCATGGACTTCAGGAAGACGGAATAATTCTCAGAAATTGCTGATGGAAGGAAATTTTTGCAAGTTTTATCTAAAGAAAGAATCGTTACGATTCCCATGATACATATCCCTCTGCCGCCGTGTCTCCGGGAACAAACAATTACACGTTGAGTTGTTGAGTACAAAACAATTTGTACTCAACAGATAACATTTTAAAGTTGTTGTACGTGGCGGCAACCATCAGTGTAAGTCATTTTGTGCTCACTAGCAACATAGATCCTTTTTGGGAAGTAGGCTTGTGACAATATTGCTCCGGTTACTCGTGTCAGGAGGTAGAGGGTGAATAGATGAGAGCGGCGTAGGCAGGACTCCCACATTCGGGAATAACCTAATCTTATTATTTAAATTATAGTTATTTACTACCACATTCGGGATCACGTCTGAATAATTGAGCAGCGGCTGCGAGCATCGTGTCCGGGAGACGATGACTCGCGAGGACCGCAAAGGGGAAAAGGGACGGTGAGGGTAATAAAGGGGACGATTTGAAAGAGAATAAGTTTTGGGAATAATGTTTTGGAAGGGGATGGGAGTACATGGGAGAGCTTTGTCATAATCAAGGTAGGCGTGTACGCTGCCAACTAATACTCGAGAGAAACAAATGGAAATAATTCTATTTCTCTGTCAAGATAGGAATAATTCTATGTTGACTAACATTTAGGTATCAGGTTTGTAGTCCAGAGGTAATCCATTTTTCTGTGATGACGGACACATGGACGAGAGCGTGCAGTAATCGCAAGTCCTTGAAAAATATGTTCTTTAAAAAAATCCTTGGCGAAACGACAAAAAGTAACCAAATTAATGGCACCACGACAACCTTCAGCAATAACCATGATATATTCAGGCAACAATAAACACTTAATTACCCATGCAGCAATAATTACGGAAATGGCCATCCAACAATAAACACCATAAAATATAAAGTAACCAAGCAGCAATAGCCAAGACAGTAACCATACTGCGATGAAGACGATAATAACCATATAAAACCATTAGGGAAAATAAAAATACAGCAATAACCACATAAGTTAACAAAGGGTCATGAAGTTGATACGACGCAGTGCCGGCTGTCGCGAGGGTTAGTCGGACCCTCACCATGTCGTACATCAAAGCCCAATCCTTCAAAGAGGATTCGGAGACGCAGAAATCGAGCGAGGAAACCAACGCTCGTGATGCTCGACGCCACAACTCGGCGATCGATAAGAACAAGCGGCGCTCGGGCACATGCCTATACGCGGCGGCGTGGTCTTCAAACTAACAGGACTTTTGGCTTAAAGTAATGCGATTGAGGTTAGTAAACGAAAAGTATCCATTTGGTAGAATGCGCTCACTGCCGATACATGCGATGCATGTGTACAACACTAAACGTTAGCGGACTGCGTGACGCTATTGGAAGAAGTTAGTAGACGCAACGTAGCCGTTTGGCAACGTTTGCGATCGACGTGCGTCAGGCTTCTGGATAGCCTTTTCTTTTACATACACAAATAACAACATGAGAAATAATTTCATTAACCCATTTCTTCAACTATTTGTGAATCTATACTTTCGAAGTGTATGCGTATAAAACACAGTAATAGTGGAAATTGTGCTAGCAAAAAGAAGAAATAATACTAAAATAAGCAAATATCGCCAAGTCATAGCTAAAGAAAATTAAAAGACGAATGAACGTGACAACCAACCAGTTCAATGATTTCTATAGTAGTTCCATGCGCAGCACTCGATGCACCGCCGTACAACGTTTAGCGAGAGAAATAAGACAACAGGTGAAATGGAGTCTGAAACATCAGCTCCAACACGATCACAAGAATCAGGCACAATTTCCAGTTGAGAAAAATCTTGCCCTCGGTCATTATATCAGGTGGACATTGAACCATAATATCAGGTGGACATTGAAATAGAAAATGAACACAATAACTTCATTTAAATCATGATCAATTATGAAAAAGCTGTTGTTTCTCCGAGGAGCGAATAAGCGAATCGAGAATCGAGGAGCGAATAAACGAACATACTGAATACATTTGATGCATTTGACACATTTGCTGTCATTTGTATTAAATAACCGAAATAATGACAGATGAATAAAGACACTTACAGCGGGTAGAATCATTTTTGGCCCTCTTTTAGAAATCCACAACACAGAAAGCAATGATGAGGAAAGGGAAAGCGGGGAGCAACAGTAGCCGGAAAACAGCATCGCGATTCCAGGAATGTCATATGCTCTTAAAATTCCCGGAACGCGCTTCCCTTAAATTGGAAATATAGATTTCACTCTCGTGATAAATGAAAGAACGACAACTTCGCTTGAATAAGATAGGCGTTGCATGAAGGATAAAAATCTATGACTGCAGATACTTATTTAATACAAACTCGC